TTAATTTTTCATTTTTTTATTATATAAAATTGTTTTTAATATATACTTTTTTTTCAAAATTAGTTATTCTGTTAATTGATTCATGCATTGCCTCTGACTTCATACAAGTGTGCAAAATTTCAGATCAATTATAGACACGTAAAAGTGTGTCAAATATCAGTTATAAGATTTGTAGCTGACAAAATTATTTCTTCAATTTTTTTTAATATTAAAAAATTAATTTTTAAAATCATTTATTTTGACATCTGTTTCATGCATTGTCTCCAACTTTACACATGTGTGCAAAATTTCAGATCGATAGGACAAGTAGAAGTGTATTAAATTTCGATTACAAGATTTGTAGCAGACAGACAAACAAACAAACAAACAACAAGAAGTGAAGTTAAAGAGAAGTGTTGTAAAATATAAGGCAATACCAGTCATTAACGAAAACTAGGTATGTCTTATAAAAATTAACGTGAACGCATAATTGTTGACTTGGAAAAATTACAAACATATGTTGGCGGGAAAAACAATTGAATCTATCTTTACAAGAATTCTGCAATCCATAATACAACTTCAGTCGAGGTTTGCTCTCTTTTCAGCGCATTTTCTCATTTATGAAAAAAATGACCTATTGTGCTCGTCATGTCCTTCCGCCTGTCTGTCCGTCCGTGACTTCACGTTTTCGTCGACGAGAAAATGCGCTCTTTGTCACTCACTGCAGTGATTACTGAGTTATATTTTTTCCTATGATGTTACTTTTGGAACACCTGAGGCGTACAGGCAGCCGAGATGATGGTGATCGTTCTCGGAGCTCCCCTACGGACGGCATCTTACCTGCTGGCACCCTCTGTAGGCAGGCAGTCCTTCCTCACACAGTGCAGAGACCGCCGATCGAGAACAACATGGTTCCGTCTGTCTCACCACCATCGATCGTTCCCGAGGAGGCTAATAATTAAACTATAATAAATCAATTTCAACCCGACAACCTGTTCTTTTCGCCTTATCATGGGACAAAAGTCGCCATCGCGATGGTTAAGTAGGAAAATTTTTCCATGCCGCCTGCATGTGATCTTGGTAACGCTGGCGCTTCAATTCTCACGAAAGAAAATCCAACTGATAATTTATGATAACCACTTTTGCATTGGTTTAAAATACCAAAGGTTAAAATTTCATGACTGTTGAAATTACATTGGGATAGTTCTGTATAAATGTGCCTATATTTCAATCATCATATGTTGAAACTGATATGGTATAAAATAAATGTTTTGTCTTGAGCTTTAATAGAAAATAAATTATGATACCGTTTTGGAGTCCTGAGGGCACTATACAACAATTCATTTTGCGTTAATTTTAATATTTGTGTGGTCAGACTGACACTGACATACACAACGTTCCTGAATATCATTATTCTATGGGCGTGAGAAAAGGGCATTTCTTCTAGAGTATTTCACAACGTTTGTACAAATCTAATGTTTTAACTTATCTTGCACCGCAGAATTCAAAGAACATTTTCAAATTTATCTTTGGGAGTCTGTTTGTTCGAGTCCGAAATTAGGGTCGCCCAGTGGTTATAATGGACATTGTAGAGACAAAAATTATAGGCTTTACTAGCATATGTCGCATTATTATCTTGTAGCTGTCCGACATGCAGATTTTCTCATAGCCCTACTTACAATCTCCAAGCTTCATGGACATCCACATAATGGCACCGCCATTCCAAAGAAAATGTAAAAAAGGCGTTATTTTGCAATGCCGACGTCTACAGCAGGAGCGGCTCAGAGCGGATCTGGAATTGTGGTTGGAAAAGTTGGAAAAATCGGAGTGAAGAATTAGGCTAGATAAACAAAAGTCCTAGATAGCTTACAAAGGAAAATGTAAGACAATTATTTTACGAGTCATTAACGTATACTAGGTATTTCTTATAAAATTAACTTAAATGCACAATTGTTGACTTGGAAAAATTACAAACATTTGTTGGGGAAAAAACGATTGAATCTATCTATACAAGCACTCTGCAATCCACAAAACAACTTCAGTCGCGGTTTTCTGTCTTTTTTTCAATAATACTACTTTTGGAACGCTGAGACATGATACAGGCAGCCAAGATGATGGTGATCCATTTCGGAGCTCCTCTACTGATGGACGGCAGCTTACCTGCTGGCACCGTCCGGAGCCCGGCAGACTCTCCTCGCACACTGCAGAGACCGCCGGTCGAGAAGAACATGGTTCCGTCTGTCCCACCACCACCGATCGTTTCCGAGGAGGCCACGCTAATTAGCTCATTAGCTCCTCGCTGGCGCTGCATCAGTCGGATTTAAGTCGCAACTTTTGCATCTTTGACGGAATCCCTTCTGCTTCACACAGCACACCTCCTTTGGCTCGTCCTTTGCATGGACCTATCCGTCTCCTAACTGTGATAAAAGATGCGGTATTTTGGCCACCTTCCTATCATTTATCCATCTACTTGCGGTCCATAAGTGGCCTTTCCTTGCCCGCGGCCTGAAGCGCATCTCTAGCGTGCCTGGTTTACGACGCGATAAACAACAATGCTGTGATCGTGATCAACACAAATTCTTAAAAATATGCGAGATCCGGACTAAACGAACCCACTGGTCGCATTCGTCCTAGCCCGCTTAAGATTGTCGCTACTGAAGTTCATATGATTCATTCATTTGATGAATTTTTGGACTGGGTGAGCTCTTTGATAATGGGGTCGCGTTTGCCTAATTGGTTGCTGCAGGAGTCGATAATAAGATTGCTTCTCCAGTAGCCTGTTAGGCAGACACGATTTCTTTCTCCTTCGAAGACGCCAGAAGAAGATAGACGCCAATCCAGATCAAGTTGAGGGTTGAGTTTCGTCGAGTAAGCTCTATCACATGAAGTATTTTCCAACACATCACTGTCTTAGAGCCAGGCTTCGTTTCATACACATAAAAACGAAACTAAGTAAGTATCCAACCTTTGAATCATAAACTATTTTGAAAATTCCAGAACCATTACCAGTTTCATATGATCCTAAATGTCTGCGTCAGGTGACGTTCGTAGAGGCCCCTGGTATCCTGGAGATGCGGAGGGCGGGTGAGCGGCAGTACCCCTTCAACGACGTGCTGCAGTGGTTCATAGACCGAGCAGACCTCGTTCTTGTAGTGTTCGACTACACCAAGCTGGACGCCGGCTACGAACTCGAGGCTGTTCTCGACCAGCTCAAGGGCAGAGAAAAACAAGTAAGGTTCCAATGGTCCAGCGTAATGTAATCGTACAATTTTTGTAGAACATCTGAAATATTTTTCGTTGTTGATTCCGTTGAAATGCATTTAATGAAAAATACATCGATTTAAAAAAAACTTTCAGTCATTTTTAAAACCATGTTTGGCTGCGAAAGTTCATCAATGCGACAACTTCGATACAAAGTCCATGCCATTTGTTGCACTTCGTTGCGTTATATCCAATCATTCCAGGTCCGCATTCTCCTGAACAAAGCTGACCAAATTCCTCCCGAAGAGTTAATTAAAGTTCAAGGTTCATTGTTCTGGAACCTCAGTCCTTTGCTGGGAGTCTCTGCTCCACCCACAGTCTACGCTGGATCCTTCTCATCCAGACCATACAGGACCTCTTCTCCAGCTAAGCTCTTCCAGGTAAAACAATTCCTCCTTGTTTTTAATACAGTACCATGCATTCATTTTTGCGTCCGACTTTACGAATGAGTCCTTCTCTTAAATTACAACATCGAAACTTATCTGAAAGCCAAAATTTTGTACGCTACTGTTCATTGAACTTTGACAATTGGTGCTTATTTTCTTTTATTCTTATCTCAGCATTAAGCACCTTTAAAATAGCGCCTCCAAATTTTATGCAATAAAAATACTTCCAACTTTTCTTACATTCATCGTATATTTTTCTTCAATTCATCTCTATAATTTTTCTTCCATACATCGTATATTTTTCTTCAATTCATCTCTATAATTTTTCTTCCATACATCGTATATTTTTCTTCCATACATCGTATATTTTTCTTCCATACATCGTATATTTTTCTTACATTCATCGTATATTTTCCTTACACTCATTAACACCATATCTTCACTACAGGCTCAGGAAGAGGCGCTACTGCACGACCTCGCACGCGCTATCAACGCGCGAGTTGAGAACCGCGTAGCCAACGCACGTCGCCATGCAGTGCGGGTGCGAAACCACGCGCAGATGGTAGACTCATACCTCACCACGTACAACAAGAACAAGGGATTCCTCACCAGCAAACACAAGCTATCCGAAGACATTGTAGAGAACCCACACGCCTACAACATCTACGAGGGTGTCAGCCTGCTTACCAACATATCGCGCTATGATCTGCCCGATCCTGAGATTTACCGAGATTTCTTCAGGTGCGTGTTTTCACTGGTAAAAGAATCGTTGCAACTCGAGTTGTAAACATAAATTATTTTTTCCCTTTACTTTTATTGTTTTTTTCTGTCAAGTGCAAAGGAAAAAACGGCCTAATTTAATTAAAATTCATATTAATTAATGGATGTTATAATTATTAATAAAGTAGAAAAATATAATTCCAACAAATAATCACTGTAGAAATATATACTAATCATAATCTTGTCAAAAAATATAACCCCGTTTCTGTGTGCAGGTTGTACAACCTGTACGACTTCCCCGTATTCAATATATATTAATCATAATCTTGTCCAAGAAATATAACCCCGTTTTGTGCACAGGTTGTACAACCTGTACGACTTCCCCACACTGAAGAGCTCATGCTCGTACCTGCGCGGGTGCCCGCTGGACCAAATAGACCGGGCCATCAGCCGCGACATGCCCGAGCTGCTGGCCCGCTACCGTACCCTCCTCGCCAAGGCCGGCGTCTCGGCCGATCTGTCGCCCGACGCTGATATCTTCGGGGAGCGTCCCGCGCTGTCGCCCGTGCCACACTCCAAGACGCTGTAGAAATTCCCTTGGAATTTAAACGATCGAGTTTACGTGGATTTGTCTTGTACACACAGAAAAATTAATGGGTTGTAATGGCCTAATAGTGACACATTTTCGTAACCACATGACGAGCAGAGAGCACGCGTACACTGATACGTCCTCTTATAGGCCAGACTGGGTCAATATGACTCACATAAGGCGAAATGTGCAGCGCTATTTGGACAACGTCTCATTTATTTCTCTGTGTGGAAACTTAAGCGAAATACGAAATGTTTCACTCGAACGAGACGGATTAAAGTAAACACCTATCTGGAGATGTAATATTTCAAAGTGATTTGTATTATTTTCATTATTTTATTTTACTTGAAAGCGTAATCCGATTGAATTAGATTGGTTCGACCACTCAAGCTCCATTTAATGAAGGCAAACACTTGCTAACAAAATTATTGTCGTAGTTTTTTGGTAAATTGGTGGCACAGAATTCGAGTTTTCCTCTAAATCAGTGAACGCACACACGCTTGATGCTTCTTAGTATGAATGATAGTTGATATAAGTAGTGAATCAATGTTTACTTGAAGCCTGTTGTAAAATATGTTATCGGCATTGAGATGTAGATAGTTATGCGTATCCTAATTAGTAATTAGTATCCTATTGTAGGTACGAGCGCTTCTTGTTTTATCTATTTAATTGTTGACTTAATTTCCGTGTTAAATTTTTACGGCTTAACTGCGAAATATATTGGACATGCATTCAGAGAATTGAGTGAGGCATATACAGTTTAGCATATATAGTTTAGCATATATAATAGCATATACAGTTTTTGCCCGTGTGTGGGTCATCTTGATTCAGTTTGCCTCGGCAAAATGCACATCATTTATACGCTAAGGAAGAGTGCCAATATTTGGACAAATGGCCCGTTCATTTTCTGAGAGTGTCTCAATGTTATGAAATATATTACGCATAGTAAATCCAACATATAATCGTTAAGTAAATTAATTAACCAACGTTTACCTTGCTGTTGTATAATTTAGCATTAATATCATTCTGATCATTGATTGCAAATAAGCCATTTATTGATTCTTGTTCTATTGACCTCTTCATTGACCGTTCAACTACCTGAGAATGCAAGGTATTCAGTTAACCTGGTACAGGAGAAAATTGAAGCATTTAATTCTTAGCACTTTTTTAACCAACGGAGATGCCTTCTGTTTTTTGCAGAACAATATTTTCATGCGCAAGCTATAATCAATGAACGATTATAATGATCAATATTTTATTTTGATGAAGAAGTATTGAATGATATCTTGTTACATCCAATAGGTATATGATGAAAACAAAAAGGTAGAGACTAAAATAGCTTCAGACTAAAGCAATGTGCAAATTTTTCATACCTGTTTTTGCGTATGTAATATGTTCAATATGGCAGATTAGGCACTGATGGCCAGCTCTTTGTTAAAAAAATTAACTATAGATGCAGACCATTACCACCATTGTGTTCTTTCCCAAATTTCGTCTGAAAATATAGTTTTTAACCCATGTTGTGTCCTGGTNAGAGAGTGTTTATAGCTCGGTATGCATTTTAGAATAAAAATCAGGACAGAGGTTTCGGACGTAACCGTGTACCGTTTGTTGCGCAACTGGGCTGAAAATTATATATTATATGTTGCGCAACGGGGCTGCTTTTGTGTAGCGTAACTGTGCTTCTAGTGTGTTTCGAACTGTGCTGCTAATGTGTTGCGCAACTGGTTTGATTATGTATTGCGCAATTTTTCTGCTCACAGTTGCGCAATTTTGCGCAACTGTGTTACTTATGTGCTGCAACCTCCATGTTTAGCGTCATTTGTCAATATCGTCGTCGTGACTTGAGAGGAATCGTCGAGCGCAGGAGTGGACCCGACACGGCCTATGGGTCAAGGCGGAGCTCGAAAAAAGTATCCCGAAAAAAGTCCTATACACTCATTTAATTCGAGCAAATGGAATCAGCGAACGCGAAGAAAGCGTTACAAACTCAGGCTGAGCAACGTATTATTTACCTAATCCCAAGGACTACTACACACAGGACATGCATAGCCTATGTCCAGCCTCTGCTAGCAGAGGCGATCGCCTACACTATGAAAATGCTGGTGTTTTATGTTTAGCGTCATTTGTCATGTTTAGCGTCATTTGTCATGTTTAGCGTCATTTGTCAATATCGTCGTCGTGACTTGAGAGGAATCGTCGAGCGCAGGAGTGGACCCGATACGACCTAGGATCAAGGCGGAGGTCGAAAAAAGGATCCCGAAAAAGTCCTATAGACTCATTTAATTAGAGAAAACGCAATCAGCGAACGCGAAGAAAGCGTTACACACTCAGGCTGAGCAAAGTATTATTTACCTGATCTTTAAAATGCGTTTTACTATAAATTTGTATATTCCTTAACTTGATCAGTCAAACATTTTCTCAATCGCGAGGTAAAAATTACCGAAAATATTATTTTAGCATTTAAATCTAACAACACTTACGGAAACTCCTTGTGCAGTATAATAAAAACAAAAATGATGAGAACGCCACATTTGGGTGATTTATTCCTTCTTCATTTGCAATTTTTCTAAAAGGACAACAATTATTTCGGCCTTTCCAATATCACTTAGAAAGAACACGAAGAGATACAAAAATTAAACCAGTCATTTTTTAGAGTACATTGAAACACAACCATATCTATCGAGGGCTTCTGACTCACGCAGCAAACTGCAAAGTCCATTCATCATTGATTAGAGTAACGTGAAATATCAGATAGAAAGTAAGCTAAAAGATTTATGACAGTTCTAAGCGTAAGAATTGTACCACCACTGCGACATTATTTCTTCTGTATCAATCATTGAAACACAACCATATCTATCGAGGGCTTCTGACTCACGCAGCAAACTGTAAAATCCATTCATCATTGATTAACGTACCGTGAAATATCAGATAGAAAGTAAGCTAAAAGATTTATGACAGTTCTAAGCGTAAGAATTGTACCACCACTGCGACATTATTTCTTCTGTATCAAAACGTGCACATTTAAGTATTTTACTTCTTGTCAGTGAAAGTATGTACTTTTGCGAAACATTTTCAAATGACCCGAATGGAATTGATAGTTTAGAAGTTTTCGCCAATGAATCAAATGGCTGGCTACACGCAAACTAGATTACGTACAGTCCGTCTTTTCAGGTCGTCCTATTTCTCAACAGCTGTAGCGATGACTCATGCCACTTCACGTTAAATAAAGTAGAATATTATTGATGTAACATCAAATAAAAATCAACTTATATGTATCGAGGGAAAGACTTCACATTAAACAGGAGACCATTTTTTCCATTTGTTACTTTTTTGACTGAAACACATATACTGTATGGCATATTTCTCCTTTCGTTTACTTCGTTCGGGAATTGTACGAGGATATTTTTTTTAATTGTGACCACGAATCAATAGTTTGATTCTGACTCAGTCTAATCCATTAGTCTGCGTGTCAGTATAGGAGCAATTGAATAATTATTTCGTACCTTGTTGAACGCTTAGCAAAATAACGCTGAAATTATTTTTTACTCATTGCATTGTCTCCAGCTCAGTCTGATCCGTACATTAAGCATATTTCGCTTCATAAACTTCAAATATAACAATATATTATTGATATGGTCGATTGAAGACCTCAGTTTCAGTTTGCATATGAAGTCTAAATTCCGGCAGTTGAAATTGTAGTCGTTCATTTGCGATTCCAGCTTGTCTTCATTGCTGATCAAATACATATGCAGGCCGAAAAATTGTTTCATGATTTTATAGCAATGGTTAAATGTATTTATGTTTAATCATCCGAAAAACTTGTTTATTTCAGCTGCGGTGGTTCGGTAAAATCCGCTTCACATAATACCTTTAACAAGAAAGTCATATATGTGATATTATGACATCATGACTGCTTGGTAAACGTTACCTTAATACATATTACATTAGCCAGAAGTTAATGTTAATGGCANGGGAATTATTTGACGTACGCCAAATATTTTTCTCGTCTTCACGGACCCGTACCAGGAATTACATCAAAGGACGGATTTGAATTACGGAAATCATCTCAACGGGAGGTAGAACATTTGAATATGAAACTTCACTTCATATTTTTTGACCTTGATTGAACTTGGGTTTTCAGACAATGAACAATTGATGAACATCGTTTAGGATTTTGACATGTAATTTTAGGTTCCCACTTAGTCAATTCTTCAATTTGATGGGCCTCTGCAATAGATTCCTTCGGTGTATCAAGAAAGCGTTATAAATATAATGTTCATTCAATATATAAATTCTATAAATTCTATGCCTAAATTCTATATTAAAATTCTTTAAATTCTATACATCAATTCTATAAATTATTTAAATTTTATATTTAAATTTGATTAATTCTATATATAAGTTCGAAAAATTCTATAAAGAAATTCTATAAGTTCTATATATCAATTCTATAAATTCAATATTTCAATTCTATTATTTCTATATATTAATTCTATAAATTTTATTTATGTATAAAATGCATAAGCAATAAAACACTCACACCCACGGACAATGCAAAGGCGGCTCGGCTTGGGATTGACGTCTACCGTCAATACAAGACAAACAGTAAGTCGCCTTGTGACTGGCCAAATATATGAAAAAAACTTATAAAAGAATGTGATGTCGTTTTGGATATTATACAGATTCAAGTAAATTCTAAAATTAAATAGCCTACATTGGAAGCTTTTATTCACAGCATAAAATACACTTTTAAAGATATATTAAAAAGATTATTAAATAGATTAAAGATATATTATTTTTTTGTCAGCAGGTCCACATTATTAAATTGCCACCTTAATAATAGACCTCATTGCTTTCTATTTATGAAATTTGAACATATCGGCGTTCATAGGTGATTAATTAAAGGTAATACTGTAGATATAGGAAGTAAGTTCATTTATAAAGCCAACCAATCACATAAGTAGTATCATGAACATTTCGTGACGGTATAATTTAACTATTAATTTTTTATAGGTCGAGTGTGGCAGTACAGAATCTGGCAGAACAGAGCGTACGTAGCAGTACAGAATCAAGTTGGTAAAGTAAGTTTGCTGTCCTTATATGTTAAAAGACGATGAGGTTTTTTCAGCGTGATATTTCTTCACTGAGGTTAGAATCGATTGTTGAACTATGTGTGTATCCAACTTTTTTGTTAACAAGTACGATTTTTATGTCTACAGTTTGTGTGATTCCCTTGCAACCATTCGAATGGTTGAGTTTTGAATTGACGATTCAAATTGTTCGAGATTTTCGTCAAGTTGCCACAGAATATTGATATTTATAGTAACTTAAAAATGCAGACACAGCATTATTTATTACACATTATCGGTCATTTAAGTGACTAGCACGCCGCTGGTATTTTAGCATACATTCATAAACTTCATTTTGTAATACGCATTATATGAAAAAAAAGAGAATTTCATTCTTTAATACGCTATTTTGCGTTCATCGTACCGAGCGAAATGTGAAGCAATTATGAAGGTCAGGTCACCACAGTTACGCAAAACCGGGCCACGGTTACCAAAATCATGTTGTGCTGCTCAGAAACAAAATTATTATAATTTTTAATAATTTAACAATAAATAATTAACATCAATCAATTTTGTTATTATAATTAAATTATCATTAATTGATCATATAATTAGTCATTTCTTTAATTTAACTATTATACTTAATTATTTATTTGGTTAATAATAAGAAATATATAATTGATAATAATAAATAATTAATATAACTATAATAAATCAATTTCAACCCGACAACTTGTTCTTTTCGCTATATCATGGGGACAAAGGTCACCATCGCAATGGTTAAGGAGGAAAATTTTTCCATGCCGCCATGCATGAGATTTTGGTAACGCAAGCGCTTCAATTCTCACGCATCGATTTTGTTAGTGGCCAATTTTTTTTAGTGTTAGTGTTTAGTGTTTTTAGTGTTAGTGTTTGGTGTTTTTAGTGTTAGTGTTTGGTGTTTTTAGTGTTAGTGTTTGGTGTTTTTAGTGTTAGTGTTTGGTGTTTTTAGTGTTAGTGTTTGGTGTTTTTAGTGTTAGTGTTTGGTGTTTTTAGTGTTAGTGTTTGGTGTTTTTAGTGTTAGTGTTTGGTGTTTTTAGTGTTAGTGTTTGGTGTTTTTAGTGTTAGTGTTTGGTGTTTTTAGTGTTAGTGTTTAGTGTTTTTAGTGTTAGTGTTTGGTGTTTTTAGTGTTAGTGTTTGGTGTTTTTAGTGTTAGTGTTTAGTGTTTTTTAGTTAGTTAGTGGCCAATTTTTTTTGTTAGTGGCCAATCAATTTTGGTAACGCAGGCGCTTCAATTCTCACGAAAAAAAAAAATCCAACTGATAATTTAAGACAACCACTTTTGCATTGGTTTAAAATACCAAAGGTTAAAATGTTGTCATAAAAATTTGATAATCGGTACAATTTATCCTCTTGACACCACTGAATTAAAGAGCGCAGGATAAATTGTGTCCGTGTTAATAGCAGTAAATCCAGTTACACTATAAACCTCGATAAAACAGTGTTACTTCGTGCATTTATCGACCATAAGAAGCCGTGAAAAGTCAATCTATCATATTACAATTTCTCTGTTAAGTTCGTAAGTTGAAGTGATTGCTTTCAATCAATTCTGAATCGTCCATATATTTTTCAGTATCGACGGATCTCGCTAAAGGATTCAGTAAAACTTCTACCGAAAAATTCATATTATCAGCAGCGAAGTTCGCGATTTTCAAAGAATTTTCTTCAACTGCGAAGTGCCCTAAAGACTGAAAATGTGGCGACCTATGCTTCTGGCGTTCGTTATGTTCGTAAATGGGGTGAGTGATTACGTTGGGTTCGTAAATTGGGTGAGTGATTACGTTGTGTTCGTAAATTGGGTGAGTGACTACGTTGTGTTCACAAATTGTGTCATTGATGCATGCCAGCACTAACAATATTCAATTACTAAGCAGTAATGCACTTTATTCACTAGCTAACCTGTTCCTCTTACTCTGCCTCACATCCAGATAAATTTGTACATAATATTTCGTTGATGTTGCCAAATTTTAAGGTGAATTGTGCATAAATGAACAAGTTCGGAGGGATTTGATATATTCTATTAATATAATTGAAGTTTTTTGATGACATCCTCCATACTATAAATAATTCAAATGATATTTTCATCAGGTTCCAGAAGCTGCTTCTCAAGGACTGGAACCTCCAACCAAAGTAATATTTCAAATTGTTATCTGTAATTACGTGAAGACCGAAGTTGCGATAGCAGTTATTGCACAATATGTGATATATTTCGATATATCATGAGAGCTTAATTTAGGGCTATATGCATATGTTATATTGTTTGAAAGGTCTTATTATTCAAATTTTTATTGTGCTCAGCATTTATTATCAATTTTCTTCTATTAGTTACTCGCAAAATCCCGTTCTCTGGTTGAAGTGCTCTCTTTAACGCATCTTTTCTGAACGTCCATGATATTTAAAAACAATAAACCCCGTGCTCCATTTGAGGTGCTGGTGCCAGTCAAGCCCCCCGGGCTGGGGACCTGCCGTCCCCTGTCTGCTGTGAGCGTCAGGTTCAGGACGGTGGTGGCCCCCAGAGGGCATGTGTACAGGAGGAGGCTGGTGAAGGTACAACACGTCGGGCAACTGAGCGGTGTACCTCTCACGGCCACGTCGCTGCCCGCGTGCGCTGCTGCTGCCGAGCAAGCAGGTGCCTATTTTTGCATTCCCGAACAAGAATACTTTTATACTACAAGTATAAATGAATTAATTTATGAATGAATGAATTTTATGAATGAATTTATGAATGAAATGAATGAATTTATACTACATGTATAAATATTACTACTCCCGAACAAGAATACTACAAGAACAAGAATACCGAACAAGAATACTTACCGAAAAAGAAGGATTACTTGATATTAAGTTTGTTAAACCTATATCGGGCTAATAACAAGGCAGAATGGTGAGAATTTCGCGAAGCACTTAATGTAAAAAATAAATATATCGTGCAGTTCATCCTGAGATTTCAAATTAGTCGGTGGAATTTAAAACCTGTTGCTTATTTAATGCTGTTCTATTCCACGAATTCCATGTAGCTGGTACTTTTAATACATTGACAACTCTTAGTCAGTAGTCTCATCTGACTTGGCTACTCCAAATCACGAGTCTCATATGACTTGGCTACTCGCAGTCAAGAGTCTCATCTGACTTGGCTATTTCAAGTCACGAGTCTTAATGACTTGGCTAGTCCTAGTCACGAGTCTAATATGACTTGGCTATTTCTAATCACGAGTCTCACATGACCTTCTTACTCTAAGTCACGAGTTTCATATGACTTGGCTACACCAAATCACGCGTCTCATATGACTTGGCTACACCAAATCACGCGTCTCATATGACTTGGCTAGACCAAATCGCGAGTCTCATATGACTTGGCTACTAAGTCACGAGTCTCACATGACTTGGCTACTCCAAGTCACGAGTCTCAAATGACTTGGCTACTCCAAATCACGAGTCTCATATGACTTGGCTACTAAGTCACGAGTCTCACATGACTTGGCTACTCCTAGTCACGAGTCTCACCAGATGTTGACTGATCACCCTCTTGCTGGCGCAGGTTTAAACACATTTGCCTTCGACAACACATGTACGGGATACGTGCAGAGCATCTCCAGTTCCTACTCCTGCGACGTCGATGCGGCCGAGGGCGTCGTGATGTTCACAGCAGACAAGTTATTTTCTCCTAGCATTTTCAGTGGTAAGTCGTTCATACATTTCATCTAATTTTCTCTCAGTTAAATATTTAGGATTTTTCTGCAAAATTCAAACCGTATGATAAGCATTTATTTCAATGACACTTAATAGAAATTCTTAATGACGCCATATATTCAGTAAGGTTTGCAAATCTCTAAACGAAATTAGCAAAATTTCCGAACATTATTCCAGCAATTTGCTTTAATACTCAACGCCTGCACAAAATAAATAAAATTGTACCTTACAACTTTCAATTTTCAGAACCCTGCATCACAAACTTGACAGTGACAGCCTTCAACGGCTCCGGCATCTTCGTGAGTTGGGAGTCTGAGAACGCGACCTCGAGGACGTTTGTGATAGAAGTGGAGGGCGATCCTTCGGGCATTGAGATCCACGGTGCCAACCAGGCCTTCCTACCCTTCAGGACTGCGGAGTGCACGCCCTACACGCTCAAGGAGACAGGAGCCTCGAATAGCTCATGTGGCATCCTTCAGGGCAACATTCCTGCAAAGAGTGAGCCGTTGTAATAATGATAACGAAGTTGATATGAATTATGCAACATGAATAAAAAGTGGCGTAAAATAAAATTTAAATTATTAAATTCATGCTAATATCTCTTCATTTTAATGAAAACAGCAATGAGTACCACTGATTAGATGTTGGTATAGACTATTGAAAGACAGGTTACGCGATCAAACAGATTGCACACGCTGTAGCAAGTTGACACGAGATTTTAATGTTTTTTCATGTCTTTTGCTGCAGAACCGAATTTCGACTCATTCACTATATCAGCAAGACAACTGGCGGAGACGAGTGAGGTGTCTTGGGAGTCTCTGTCTCGCATCGACCCTTGTGGACTGATAACCTACTTCAACGCCCATAACTACGCCTACATTGGAAGCGACTATTCGCAGTACAAAGACTACAGAATGCCCACCGCGGACCTCCATTATGTGTTCCCTAATCGCAACTATGATCTGACTGTCACCGTCCCAGCTACCGGAAAAGTCCTTCTTGCCCAATTCGGTAATGGCTACAACATATTAAATAATTTGACTAAGGCAGTATTCTAAATATGACTAAGACAGTATTAGGCGAAAATAAATGATAAGAAGTCTGCACGAGAGAAAAATTTACACTTACGTTCATTTACTCTACGGTGATTATTCGTATATATTCAACAGCTTAGTTTGTTTACACAATATTCATAATGATTGATTCGCAATTTTTTTCAGAGGGCTGATGATTGAAGTTGAAGTAATGACTGTAGTGCGAGGTCGTCATTGTTATCGAGCAAGGCGCTGACCTTAAGAAGAAAGCCAAACTCTACGAAATTCCTCATTTCAGCCAGTAACACTACACATGCAGACCTATCATGATCAATTAGTTTATAAAGGTTTTGTCTCTTGCAAAACGCATAAAAGTCTTGGTATTCGTTGTTTTATTTTTTTCCTTAGTTGCATCTCCTCCAGCATCTTATCTTAGTTGTTACAGAAGACGAGATAATAATTGACATTTTGTTATCGGCGAATGATCCCTTCAGGCAGATTATCAAAATTCACGTGGTATTGGTTGGATAATTAATTGTATAATTGTATAGTAAGCTGAAAAATAAGATTGTCAATCTATACAATTACAATGGACCAGAAAAATTGCGATATATGCAAAATAATGTAATTTTTATAAATTCCAATTCAAATGAGTGTCTGTGATCAAGATTCGTGACTCATCTGTATATCAACATTCAATTTAAAAAACAATGTAAATAAGCGTAAGTGCATTTACATATATATTTATTTATATATTAGAATCCTCCCACGACGCGTCAAGATATGTTAAACCCTTGTAAAATTTTTATACAAATCCTGCGATTTCGTGCCATGAATATCGTGGTGTACATTATTAAATTGACTCACCAAAAATTACACGAGCAAAGTATCACCGTTAGGNTTCATTTCGATGAGTTCAGTGTCTGTCTCTTATACACATCTAGATGTGTATAAGAGACAGGCCTTATACGTCGTAAACAAAGAACACATAGAAAAAATTATCACAACTTAAACATCACCCTAGATCCAAATTGACGCATTTGCAGAGTTTCACCGACCTGCGCTCATTAGTTTGAGAGATATTTTATGTTCACTGCAAATTTAAAAATCTGTTGTAGAAACACCGATCACTTCTGCGTATAGCCGTATAACTCACGAATGAAACCAAAATTGAAAAATTTTACACGAGCTTAACTCTACCGTTAGGTTAGATCATTAGGAATGTACGAGTACCTATTTTCTGATTTTCGTTCAAATCTGCTTAGTGTTTTAGAAAGTTGGAAACGATGGTGAAATTGAAAAAATAATCACGATCTAAACATTAACATTAGGTTCTAATGAACGCATGTGCAAAGTTTCATCGAGCTGAGTTCTTTAGTTTGAGAGATATTTTATGTTTACTAAATCTTGGAGACCCGCCGTAATATTGTCCGAGAGGTCATCGAACCACTAACGCTACCTTAGAAAATATGTTCTACTAGTTGTGCACATTTTTTATTAATTATAATTCAAAAAATTGTCGAGATGTTGACACCGTCAATCGAGTACCCTATTATCTTACATGTTAGACTAGATAAAGCTATGGAAAAATATATGTTCAGATTTGAAATGCCTAGCTCCTTATCGAACCCGGTGGAAGTCTAGTAGCTTCTTCAAACTATAAAAATTCAGTCGCGGCTCGCCAAGTAGATATATTCCATACTAGTGTAACTAGCCTACTAGGTATATAGCTAATAATCATAGTGGCAAAGCAGAGGGTTTTTTAGACTATTCCTCAAGTTCATTTTTGATTCCTATAAGTAGACCAGTAAAGTATTTTGGATACCAGAATTTTCATACATAAGAAATCTCTTAAAATCTTGAGTAAATGAGGAAATTAAAAATGAACTGATTCTAAAAAATCACTGGTTTGCCACTATGTTAGGTATGAAATCTTACAGCTCTAATCTAAAGTATTTTTGTTTGATTTAAGAAATCATGGTATTGTAAATAGTACATACTAATACATATGATAAACATGTCATTTCACAAAATTTTTTAATTTCCATAGTTAGTACCGGTACCTATTACCTAACATGCTGGCATGCTCAGGATGCTCATGCTCTTTCCAAAATATCCTGCATACCCTATCAAAATTTGGCGAGCCTGGCAAGCCTGAATTAGGAACCGCCTAGGACTTGGACCGAACGTAAATCAGCTTCTCTATGTCCGCTTTTTGGTCTACATTCCGATCCCCGATTCAGACGGCTACCAGAGCCTGGTGAGGGAACTGAGGGGATTCTGCCAACTCTTACCCTACTCTCAGGAGACCATAAAGTCGGCCAGGAGGTTCTGACTAGACGCTGATTGCGATCAGTTGGCCAACTGACCCAGAATAACTTTGCGCCGAGTGTAGTGACTATTCGGCCGAAGCCTAGGCGGTCCCCAAATTTTGTTAGGGTAATGATTAATGAGTCAACCCAAATTACATAGTGTCAAACCACGGATTTTTTTAGAATCGGTTCATTTTTAATTTCCTCAACTACTCTAGATTAAGACCAATTTCTTATGTATTATAATGATTGTCTTCATTAAACTTTGCTGGTCTCCAGACCGTCTCCTTATACCTAGGGCTCAACAATGAACTTGAGGTTGAGGAAGAGTCTAAAATAGTCTCTACTTTAACACTGACCTGTGAGTGTTAACTGTTAGAGATCGTATAGTTGCTGTCACATCTGAGTGATCTGACTGCATTATAACTGTGTTTATTCCTAAAAAAAATGTAAACAATACATTATCACATGTTCTGTTGCCTCTCTGTTCACATTTGCCTCTCACAAATTTGTTCAGGCTCTGATCACATTAGGTTTGAAGTTCAATCTAGATCTGTTATTGTGTTTCAAGCACCACTGTGACTGTAAATCTGTAATAAATATATATCAATTAACTCACAGGGGTGTTGAATTAGTATTATATATATAATTATTGCATTGAAATGATTGAATAGATGTGTAATTTGTAAAGATATTTTATTATTTTAAACCATTCAAATTGTCATAACATTAATATCATACTTTCAACTTACTTGTATATCATATTTTTCAGCTTCCAAACTTGGCTTTAATGTCATTTAATTATGCTCATTTAATTCTTCAGTGCTGACCACCCATCATTTCTTTTCAGGGCACTCCCATCAAAAGCCTCGTGCCATGTGGAAATCAATCTGTAAGTGATGTATTTTGTGCTAATTTTATAACTGTCTTATGAAATGAGCATTTTTTGTTACAATTTGTGAATATACAATTTTTTTCAATGTTGAATAAAGAGTGAATGCAAAACACAGCAATTCCTTGAAGCCTTTTATTTATGTTTGGTGTGCAGTGCACTCTTTGGAGATGGCAGCTCCAAAACCATGCCCCATCTACCGCAACTCTGCACGGATGAAGTTACTTCACGAGTCATCTCCCGAATACCAAACATTCTGCAATACCTCTTCCAATGCTCTTGAGTCTACTAAGACTGGAGCTGGTTGTTCATCTGCACTTGAATCCAACATCCTCAGCCCAGACTATGATGATACCAGTCTTGCAGATATTAATCACAAGATAACCCAGGGCACCACAAACCCAAGCTTCAGTGCATTTGTCAGCAAAACTAAAGACCAACCAACTTATACTCGATTTTACTCCAGTTTAGATGAAAATCCGGAGCTAGATGATCCTCCCAACTTTGTGGTGCCCCATGGATATGGGCTGGAGTATCATGGCTGCCTCACTCGAGCCGAGTGTGAGAAAGCCCTACTACATGATGGGGAGTACCTGGTCAGACAAAGTTCCTCTAGGAAAAATGCTGACCATCTTATTTTGAGCTTAAGGTAAGCCTATCATATATTTTTCCCTACTCTTCTGATGAGCCTTAAAGATCATATTAATGATGTTGGCCTCTAATACCATACTCTCTTACATTAACTATCTAGGGATTTTCTGACCTATCTGTTATTTGGTAGTTTTATATACTAGATATTTTTTCCAATTTTTCATCAAAGTAGTTAGAAATCATGATTTCTATGCCATTCATTTTAAGCATCCTGTAATTTTCAGATTTGATGGAAAACTGAAGCATTACCAACTATACTATCAAGCAGAAAATCAAAGCTTCAGCCTTGGCAGCAAAGATCGTGAGAGATTTGAGTCTGTGCAGGATCTGGTGGCCAAAGGTCTAGTGACACTCTTCCTAGACTCGCGCGCTGCACAGTTCCTGCAGCAGCAACAACTTTTCAATACATCAGATTTCCAGAAGCCTATTGAAGAAACTGATGAACAAAACTTGTTAAGCCAAACTCAACGTAGAAAAGCTAAGAACTATATTAATAGTAAGAAAAAAGTTCCTCAATTAAATGCATGCCTGGCTTGTGGATCTGCTGTAGATGTTGCAGTGACCAGTAACAATTCCACGACCAAAGTTTCTCAAATGTGTGAAACTTTTTCCAGTCCGTCTTCCACAGCTAATGGCACCTTGAAAACAATAGGAAATCATGCAACATGTAAAAAATGTACCCCTAAAGACCAATTATTTTATTCAAAAAATCAAAGCATCAATTCGAATAAAAATGAAGAAATCTCAATTCCCATATCTACTCATGATGAGACAGTCAATCAGAGTGTCGAAATAGAATCAAGCTTTGAACTGGCTGGTGGGAAGTCAGATAACTTGTGTGATACTTTCCCTGAAGAATCAACCAAGTCTAGTGATGCAGTGGTTACTGGTGTTGATGTGAAGTACTCGGAGACACCATACTATGAGGTGACGCGGAGCCTCAGGCGCTATCATGATGGCCAACACAAGCTTGCAGAAGATGCAGCCAGCACCGCCATGCTTGCTACATCTTCTGACAAAGAGAAGGTTAGCCTTCAATGTTGTTTAGAGTTAGTTTAAGTTCTTTGCATGACATTTAAGCTAGTTAGTTGGTTCTAGTACCTACTACTACTATGGCTAGTTAGTTGGTTCTAGTACCTACTACTACTATGAGACTTCAATGATAAATGAAATTATGCAGGTCTGATATTTTCGTTTTTCATAGTTATGATACAATAATATTATTTTTGTGAAATATGTGGGATACTTTATTACTAGCAAATAATTTAATCCAAGTATATGACTTTCATATTTATCAAAGTTGTTTCTCTGTTGTGTTTTGTGTTTACTATAACATGTTATTATTGGTTGCAGGGAATTATTCCGTCCAAAAGTGGTGCAGATGTTACATGTTCAAGCAAGGACATCCACATCACTCGGCGCATGAGCAAGTATTGGATTTTTGGTGGCAAAAAGGATGCAGCAGGACAAGCTGGAGACGCTCCAGATGACGTCACTGGCATCCCTCATCAGTTCAAAGTACACAACTTCCACTTCTCCTGGTGAGCTTTAAATCGCGTTCTGGGAGTCTTCTTAATATTTTTTTAATTTCAGTACTTCAACAAACCTGTTGAAGAAACATTTCAGAACAAATCTCAACCTGTCAGAAAAATTCGTGTTGAAGATTTATACTACCATACTCTTAACTTAGCTTAGAATATATTCGTTGCTAAGATTAGTTTTAGCCCTTTTGCGAGCAAGCACAATAATATGAAAAAGTCATATTTCTGAAACCAGAAAAGAAAATGTGCAACTTTAATATATACCGTACGTATATGTATATATGCTCCTATGACTTTTCGAAAATTTTGCACAGTGGAGTAAATTTCAGTTGAAGAATCTATTAAATGCAGTCAACATGCTAAAAAATTTTTAAATATAAATTCAAATATTTAAATAAAGAGTAATGATCAATTGAATATCATCAAGTTAATTTAATTGATTGAATAGATATTGCTACTGTAATCTTTTTTAAAAAACGCGAAAAGAGCATAAATTTCTTTGCCCAAGTCAATACCTACTCTCATTTATATGAATAGTTACATTTCAATCTTTCGGCTTGGTAGGGATGAAGCCATGTGTGTATGAACAATGACCAGATAATGTTAATTGGTATAGAGACTTGATAACAAAGCCTCAAAACATAAACTGAGGTCGTGGTGTGTATTTTTGGGAGGCGATTTGAAGTGATAATTTACAGTAACTTGTTTGCTTATGGGTTAATGAGCTATTATTGATTTTTGCTTGTTCATTAAGACTAGTTGCTGATTCGTATCAGTTGATTATGATGATTTGCACATTTTCAACAATGATTATGTTGAGTCATTGATTGACTAGTAACTTGTCTCCATTACTTCAGGTGTTCGATCTGCGCGCACTTCTTGTTCGGCGTGCGTCGTCAGGGCGTGCGCTGCGTCACCTGCAAACTGGCGGCGCATCCTTCGTGCGCCCGCGCGCTGCCGCCTGACTGCGTGCCACAGCTCGCCCAGCTCAATGGTAGGCGCTGTCAGGGGCGCTATTAATCTCAACCTTCTAAAGTTTTTCAGTCTGAGTTCTAGGCTCAAGCGTCACTGTAGCGCATAGGTTAGTGACGCTATATGTGCAGTGAAAGCAGCACCGAGATGAGAGGCGCTAGCTATGGATTCTAGCCTTGGGAAGCTCGGTTCATTTCAGTGAACTCTACTGAACGGAACTTCATTTCGATGAGTTCAGTGTTGCTGGTGGAGGGCACTGGGTCGTCAAAAATGTGGTGCATCCAGCATTGCCTTGGGTTGGGTTCCCTAAACAAACTCTGGGTAGGCGTACCTGGGGGGGCCTTATGGTCTTAAATCGCTAAAAGAGCTGAGTCTGAGTTATAAACAGCTGTTTTGAAGTCCTTGTCTCTGGCCTCTGTTAATAATGTGTTGCTGTGCAGCATGTGTCGCCTGTGGTGTGATATGAGAACTTGAGAGGCCATTTCACCTGTAGCTTGTCAAGAAGTGATTTATGATTAAGTGCCACTTGATTCGGAGTGACTTGTTACACTGATAGGAAGCATTGAATTTCATCATAATAACCATGATCATCTTCGTAAAGTCTCAAATTTACATTTTATTGGTGAAAACGCAGAGATTTTTGTGAAGGAATGCAGTTCTTGTGTAGAATTATAGAGAGAGCTTTGCTTAGAGAATTATATTCGTAGAATTATATACCTACGTGTTCCAATTACGTGTTACTTCCAGGTATATTTGGCAAGGACTTATCCACGCTGATGGGAACAGATCCTTCTGTGGGCGTGTGTGCGGGAGCCTCGCTAACTCCTCCCCCCCTCGACCTCTCACTGGTAGGATTTTTCTTGTATCCTGCAATATCACATGTTAAACTAATTAATTTTTGGATTACTTGAACTTTTCTATCACCGTGTTCAGTAAAAACTGTCACCAGTGAGCTTTTCTATTTAATCATGCGATTCCACATGTTAAACTTCTAGATTTTTCATTTCTGGAATTTTTTAATATATCTGTAACTAATAAATGAAGTAAAGCTAAGCAACGATCAATACAGCAGAGGAGCTTGCCTAAGTTTGTCCCGCCCATACCTTCACCTCACAAAATTCTTCTACAAGTCTGCACCCTACAGCAGGCGACCGTAGCATTCAGTTTTTGGCTTGAACTCACATTTGAACTCAAGAAAACCGTCAAATCAGCTATCTTAAAAAGTATACGAGCTTTATCGTTATAGGAGCAATAAAGGAATAATGTGTTCACTGGCTAACATACTCTGCGTGTTTTTTTCAATTTTTTTTTGCTCTTACTGAAAATTTGTATAGGCTGATTCAACTCGATGGCAGTCGTCCATTTGATCACACCCAGCATTACTTAGATCTTAGCTTTACTTAAACTCAGCCTCAAATATCTCAAACTTTTGAAATTTTGCCTCAAATATCCCAAACTTTTGAAATTTTGCTTCAAATATATTAAACTTTTGAAATTTGCTTCAAATATCCCAAATTTTTGAAATTTTGCTTCAAATATCCCAAACTTTTGAAATTCAGTGCGCCCTATNAGTAGTACATATCGTAACTATATAATTTAATCGATATTCAGTATTCGTGACATGATATTATTTTGATTCACCATCAAACCGCCAGGATAGCAATAGAAAAAGGTCAGTAGTACATATCGTAACTATTTAAACACCTCTCACGGTGTCTTGCACCAGCCATGCCAAGACTCCGACCCCCACCCAGGGCGTCAGGGCATATACTTAAAAAAAAGTCAAGAGATCGTAAGTTCATCAGGCAATCATTGACGGCGTTTCAAGAAAAATCCACCAATCATAGACAAAAAAATAGAGCGTAAGTACTTACGTTCACTTAGCGAGTTTTGAAAGTATGGCCCCAGGCCGTCTCCCAGCCGAGCAGAGCACCCTGCCGAACCAAGACCGAGGCGAAGCTAAGCCTCAGGCTCTCGATCCCAGCAGTTAATTAAATCGATATTCAGTATTCGTGACATGATATCATTTTGATATCGGGTCTTGTACATTGACGAGGTTTATTGTCCATTTATTGGTCTTTGTGAATATCTAGTTATTATAACATTTGTTGTAGTAGCTAGGTTGCAAATTTATTTAGTCTTTTTGCCTTGTGTTAGACGGTAAGCTAATAAAGGGAAAAAGGGAAAAAGGGAAAACATTTGTTTATGTGAACAGTTGAGTAATTTGTAAATCGTAATTTATTGAAATCATGTCTAAATACTATTATCTCTTGAGCTTGACATCAATGCTGTGGCTGGCGTGCTGAAGCTCTTCCTTCGTCAGCTTCCTCTGCCTCTCATCACAGCTCTCTGCTTCTCTGTTCTCCTGCACGCCTATGGTGAGGCAGCCGCTCTCACCTCCTGGCCATGCTAACATAATTTACTTCTTCTGAAGCTCGTCAAATGAAACCCAAGAAAAAGAAAAATTTTGCTAATTTTTGAACACCATTTATTCATCGAGTCTGATGAATAAATCCTAGAACTTTTCACTGCTGGATTACTTAAGTAATCCAGTCCATTATTTAAGTAATCCAGTCGACGGAATTTGAAGAAATATCGGCTTAATCCATTTTAGATGTTTAAGGGAAACTAAACTATCTCGCGCCGAAATCCATTAACACATTCTATCCTTAGTCACGCTTAGTAATTAACTTTATTTTGTTGCGCAATTGTTGGCCTAATACTTATATTAGAATATTAAGATGTTGATGACTTACAAACGTTCGTTAAATTTTCACAAGCTAATGAAATGCCAATGGAAGAAAAAAAATATGTTTATTAACTTTATTTAGAATTTTCGCGTCGTTTCTGTTTTATGAATTACATGCAGAGGAAGCAACTCTCTAGATTAATGAAATTTTTAACGTTCATCAGAATCTGAAGAGGATGAAGAGCAGCTGCAGTTACTACAGTCTGCCCTGCTGCTGCTGCCTGCAGCTCATTACCACACGCTGCTGCTGCTGCTCCAACATTTCAATAAGTACAACTTTTTTTTTTTGTCTCAAGAAATAATTGTTTAGTGCTCTTCTTTCCCTCCTAAAGGTATTTGTAAGCAATAGATTTTTTATAGTACATATAATGGACACTGAAATTTCAACCCTCTAAATGATGAACAATTGCAGTTATGTACATCTGAGCTGTACCTACAAAGCTTACTCACATACACGTAGCGACATAAGTACACGAGCGTCCTTATAGTACACTTGGTGGCCTATTTTTCGTCTCTGTCTAAAAAATAATTATCAAGTTGTCAATATGCCTGTCAGTGTTATGTTAATATGTCTCTGTCAGTGATTGACTGACGGAGTTACGATCTTCCCAATTATTTATTTCTCTCATTACGGTCCTAGATCTCGCTGTCCACTGCCATCCAATATAATATATATTACACGCAACACTCCATGAGAAACGCGACAAATTTCTTTAATGTGTTGCTCGGTGTGCAGAATAATCGACGAAGGCGCCGTGAACAAGATGTCAGCGACGAGTCTGAGTGTCGTGTTCGCCCCCACGCTGGTGCAGCACGACCCTGCCGCTGCACTGCTGCTGCATGCGTCCCCTCCAGTGCACAAGCCTCCTGTGCCTGCAACCGTGGGGGATGGTGAGTGAGCAGTTGTCATTAATGGGTCGGTTCTTTTCACGCGTTAACAGAATCACACAAATTAATCTCATTTGCATTGTCTACTGTCAATATTTGCCATAGCAATTGAGTTGCCTTCCTTCCCTATCCGGTGCACAAGCCTCCAGTGCCTGCTACCGTGGGGGATGGTGAGTGAGCAGTTGTCATTAGTGGGTTGTGTAAGCTGCCTCGTTTAACACATTTGTCTACCCTCACGACTCGAAGGTGGAATTAGTCGAAGAACCTATACTCGGCAGTTCTCTGTCTTGACTGACGCTTCTCGTCCTGTCGTAGAGCTATATCCCGTTCAGTGAGTGACGTCGTTACTGAGAATAGACAAAAGAATGAACCTATCTAATTTCGGATGGCTGCTATCAATGGGTCAGCTTACAGTTGGTTGTTTTCATGTATGAATAGAATCACTCCAATTCATCTCGAATGAATTGTCTTCCGTCAATGCCGATAACCTCGCCATAGCACTTAGGTCACCGGCTTTCAATAGAAATGATATATTTTATAAATAAAACTAAACCTCATCTCTCTAGCACAATCAAAACAGCTCCGTTGTCATTATGTGGTTATCTAACCCTGCAAATCGTAGTTTTAATAAGTATTACACTGTTTTTGTGAAGAGCGGCGACGTAAGTGCAGTGCATATCTGCTGAGTAGCAACTTATGTGTCTATTGACGGTAAGTTTTTCGCAAAATATTTCCCGTTTTTAGCGCATTTTCTCATTTATGAAAAAATGCACTATTGTGCTCGCCATGTCCGTCTGTCCCTCCGTGACTTCATGTTTTCGTCGACGAGAAAATGCGCTCTCTGTCACTCACTGCAGTGAGTACTGAGTTATATTTTTTAATAAATGGTCAGAATGACCATAATACTATTTCTTTTCTTTAATAAATGTTTTTTGCCCACCATAAATTAACATATCCAAGTTTGTAGTAACTACCCTGTGTTTGTAGTGTCTGCAAATGAATTAAACTAATTCCAAGTGTTATGTAGCGAGGAGGTACGAAGCCTTAATTTTGGCGGTGCCCTGCAGAGTCTTCCAGGAGTGCGGCGGTGGCAGCTCGTCGTCACCTCGTCACCTTCATCGACGACGAGCCCACGATGCTCTGTGACGCCATCAAATCATCGTCCCACGTCGCCGAGATCGTCGTATCTTCGTCTCCAGCGACCCAGGAGTCTCATTTAGAAGAAGCAGAGTCTTCTCATTTCAATTCTTCTTCGGTGACGTCGTCGGAAATTATTGAGAGAATCGGGCCGTCATCAAAGCTTAATAACGATTCGCTTTCATCCTCTTACACTCCTTTTCCTGAGCCGTACAGCCACCTTAACGGGCCTGACGTTAGTCATGAACTGCCAAAAAGGACCAGTTCATCGTCGCCTAACGTACTTGTGAACAACACGACTTGCATCCTGAAGGACACAGTGATGGAGAACTCTGCCCAGAACACAGTGAACAATGGCTTATCTTATGAGGAAACTCAAGACTTGGACAAATTTAATGGAATCAAGGCTGATCACAGCACCCATACCAACGGCTACCCGCGACCTTCAGGTGGTCACAACAAACCTGAACCTCCCTCAGTTCCGTATACCTCGGCCAATTTAAACGCGGGTCTCACTGCTGAAGATGTAAGAAATGTCAAGAATGTGTCGATCTCATCGCCTTTGTCTGGAGCTGACGCTGGTATGAGCAGCGTCAGGAGATCACCTGACATCTGCGGTGCTACGAGCTTGAGCGCCAGTTCGTTCCTGACGCCCGATCAGCTGCTATGCATGAAGCATGCCGCCCTCGAGCCTAAAGTCATCGAGATGCTCATCAAGAGCTACAGGAAGATATTTTAGAGTGCAAAGTGTTGTGGTTGGTGGAACTTATAATTTGAATCTCGCCAGAGAGGCTTTTAACTATTAACCGTCCAAAAAAACTTTCTTGATAACCCTGTTCCAATGTGCATGTTAGTGGCATCAGCCGGTCTAAGGTCATGCATTGCATTAGTTGAAAATGTGGCCAAAGTTGTAAAATTTGCCGTGTACCGACTTGGGAAGTCATTGAAACACTCCGGCAATTGCTGGTAATTTTACTTTTTTTTTATGAATAGAAGACTATGAACTGAGTGTAAAGTAGTTTTTTCATGTTAAATTCGTCGCCTGTAGTATAATCTAAGGTTATATCTATTGAATCCTAATTGAACATTTGTAATATTGTGCACTTGAAAATTATTTTAGTTGTAGCTATAAATCTGGGGCCAAAGTTATTGCGATGCTCAAAAGATGCTCTACGGATCTGTTAATTGGCCACTAATGCTATTGTTGACGTGGAATGCTGTTCCATCTCGTGCGTACGATGCTGCCCTAGAAGCCTAAAGTTCAGCGAGATGCGTAGCAAAGAATATCTCATGTTCTCAGTAGGTAACATTTTTGCTTGTATTTCTTGTATAAATTTCTATTATCTGATTTATATCTCCGTAAAATAGCTGCTCGTGGTTTCACTATTTCCGGTGTAGAATAGGATTGCTGTGCCGTTGCAGTCTGACACGTCGGAGCCTCGTCATCAACAAGCACTTATTGTAGCTAATTGTTGGTTGGCGCTGAACGCTTAGTGCCACAAGTAAGCTTTTTACTGGAGAACGGCTTTTTTATTACTCTATAATCAAAACTATTCTCAGAATAAGCTGTTTCCTGCTACAGTGTAGTTCATTACTATGATAATACTCATACATTAGTTTAAATATAAGAACATTTTTTCGAAGTAATTTTTAAAATTAAAATGAATATTGATGTTTGATCTCTTTTTCTCATAGGTAAAAATTATTATTGATAGTATACAAATCGTAGAAAATACAAATATTAAATTTGTTAATTACCATGTTCTCGTCCTCTGCACGTGTATGAGGTTCTCAGTGTATGTTTTCAGTAATTTATGAATGCTCTCATCCCTAACTTAAGGATAATCTATTGTTAACCTCTTGTTCTTCTATATAACTTTATCGCTTCTCTTACAAAGACTGACATTCTATGCATAGCATTTATGCGCGTATTATAATATATATAATATTATATAATATAGGTATATATATGATGGCGCGTAATATAAATGCGTATTTCAAATGTGCGTGTCGGTGCCGGTAAAGCAAGACACGCGCGTGTTGCATTTGGGGGTCACTGTGCTGTTGATTTTTGTATTGTTTTTTGTGCAGCGTTATTGCCAGAGACGCTTAAGGACGGCGTCTACCCAATGCGCGTCAAACCTAATTTATTGGAATGAATCCTGATGTTTCTGGACCGCAATTTTTGGGATTTAAGCAGAAAGTGTCTACTGATAAGTATGGATATAGCGGTGTGGCTAGTGGAGTGTGCGTGTTGATATTGTTTACTGGCGATGTATGGCGGTGTGGTTGCAAGTCAGCGTTTGTGTGTTGTTAAGCTGCAGGATCCTGCGCAGTGAGGATGCGCAGGGATCCTGCGCATCCTCAGGGATGTGCAGAGCTGAGTTAGGTTTTCTATGAGGATCCCGAGGATCTGCGTTATCGTTTGCTTTTTACATGACTGTTGCTACATCTGCTTGAAGCGCGCGTGTATAATGCGCTTAAAACAGAGGTTTCACGCCAGCACGTCCTCTGGTGGTGTATGGATATGGCGGTGTGACTAGTGTGTTGATATTGTTTACTGGTGGTGTATGGTTGGTGTGGTTGCAAGTCAGCGTTTGTGTATTGTTAAGCCGCAGGATCCTGTTGGGATCCTAACAGCAGAGCTGTTAGGTTTTCTACGAGGATCCCGAGGATCTGCGTTATGGTTTGCTTTTTACATGACTTGCTACATCTGCTTGAAGCGCTCGTGTATAATGCGCTTAAAACAGAGGTTTCACGCCAGCACGTCCTATGATTTGAATTAAAATTTAATATCACTTCTCGATTACTCGCAGTACCGAAGCCTGTCAATGCTCTTTGTCGAGTTGTTCGTAGCTCGAGTTGTTTGTTGAAATTTCATCGAGTTACCTACATATTATTGCCTGAAGAGAATCAACATTTTTTTACAGCTGATTTGGCCTCTAAATTCGATTGAAGATGCTTTCCTAAAAGTTATACCCATTGTATTCACTTCAATTCTGGATATTTCATTTCATTTTATTATTTACCCATTTACATTGTTATAAGTTGTATCTTTATTCTGTTGATTTTAAATTTTCAAATAATGCTGACTATTCTGTCTATAATATGTCAATAACTACACTCGTATTCACTGTAATTTTGAGCAAAAATGATTTTCAATTGTTTCAGTTATGGAAGCAAAAGATTGTGTTTCTATTAATTTAAATGCCATTTAGCTTTTATATAATTTATTTGTTCTCCGATTTTTAAAATCATCATCTGACAGTTTCTTCTAGATTTCCTCATTAAAGAAGCTCCATTCAAGACACTTGTTGAATTCAACGTCCGCTTTTTATTTTTTTTCTGTCGATTTTCAGAGACCTATTATCCTGTATCACATAAGTCTCTGACTGTAAATTTATTTCTATTCAAAGTTTCATTAATTCTCCGTGTCTATCTTGCGCGTAAGGGTACGCACACAGTGGAAGCAAGTTTGCCCGCGCGGGCAACCTGCTCCAACCTGCCACAAGAATGAACATAGGATAAGAATGTAAGTGTTCACAGTGAAAACCTGTACGAATAGGCTTCTGTATTCTATGGTTACGCACACAGTGGAAGCAGGTTTGCCCGCACGGGCAACCTGCTCCAACCTGCCACAAGAATGAACATAGGATAATAATGTAAGTGTTCACAGTGAAAACCTGTACGAATAGGCTTCTGTATTCTATGGTTTCAGGTGCCAGCCTGAGCAGGTAACCAGCACGCTGGCAACCTGCTTTCACTGTGTGCGTACACTTAGCTCTTGTCTGCATGATTGTTTACATGCTAAGTCGTGCCTTGCATGCTGCCTTAACGAACTCCTACGGGGGCTGTACGCCGCGCCCTGTACAAATCAGCGGATTATGTACTATTGTATTGCCAGAATATTAGTCGTGTTATTTCGCGTATTTATTACCTGCCTAAATATCCCTTACGTCATCGGTGGTATGAGACGATACTAAAAGTCTTGTAACACTTGTCTAAATATTGCTTATATAAATGCTAACAGTTCCGTGCCGCGTCAACTGTATACTAAATGTCCTGTTCAACTTACATGAATGTTCGCTTTGTTGTTGAATTGTTTGAGAGAAGATAGTGAGGTGTCACTATAGCTGACACGGTGTTCATCTTCTCTTTAAATTATTGATAAAATATTTAAGATATCTATTACTACCTCTAATTACTTGCGTAGTTGACGTAGTCGTATTTATTCTGATCTTTTTCTCATCTGTAGATCTACTTTCTAAGTTTCAATTCTATATTTACGATTCTTATGAATGCTTCAACATTCATGTGTCTGCTCTCACTCCTTCTCGGAGTTCCTTGTTCATAAGAAATCCTTTGAAGTTCGCGCCAATAAAGAACTTTACTGAGACACGAGCGCCCCACCGCGGAGACAGTGATGTCTGACTGCGGGCCTTCGTTGTGGTGTCAAGTTTTCTCCATTATCAATTCATCAATTCTGTCTTATGTATAGTAACATCAATTCATTACATCAATTATTTTCAGCCTCTCTGTCTCTCGTGCAGCATTTTACGTCTCGTTTCAGCTTTTCTTAGCGTATTTGTTTCTGATAGGCATCACCTATTCCTCGTTTGTTCTTAATGTTTGAGATTCGAATGCTGCACCTTCCATGCCAGCTGCTATCACCATCTTTTCCCTTTGCTCGATGAACGATTTTCGATGCGAGAAATTTGTGATGATCGATACCATGAATGTTGTTAGTAAGTTTTTTTCTCCCGGTGTGCGTTGTGTAATAGCTGGCAGCTAACGCATTATTTCGTGACTTGTGATTATAATAATGATATCCATGTTGGCATTGTCATCGGTGGACATACTCTCTGTTTTGTATCGTACAGTCGTCAGAGGAGACGTCTGTATCCCGTCTCCTAATACAAGTAATTTTGAACCTGCAAAATAAGCGCGTTGCAAGTTTAAGGTAAAATGCGAAATGCTTAAAGTATGCACAACGCTCGGACTCCAAGCCCAACGCTCGGGCTTTACACTACAAAAGTGCATTAGGAGAGCACGGCATAGGATGTGTAGGTGTGTACGCGTATCGTCTAGTCCTCTAAATAACGTAGCTTAACCTGAACGCTTCGAAATGGCCAAACTCATGTGTTGAGCTGTTGATAGTTTCTGTAGCTTGGCGAGAATTACTTGCTGATTTATCTGTGTTGTGTTTTAGTTCAGGTCGAACCATCGCTACGTGCCAGTATTGGTCCCTCGGAGCGGTGTTTTTTAGAAGTGCTTCCCGATACGTTCAGTTGCATTCGTCAAGTTTCTTTTACTCCAATCATGAATTCCTTTTTTTCAAATTGTTCATTTTTTTTAATTGCTGATGCCACCGCTCGTGTTGATGCTAAATTTTGACTTTTTTCCATTGAATTTTTCTCCAATGGACCAATTATAACGGAATTATATTAAAGTTTCTTTAAAATAATTATATTTAATGAATGAAATTACCTATTTTCCTGTTAATTCGAAACATGAATTATATTTCTCTTCATGAATTTCTCGAAACATGAATTTCTCGAATATTATATTTCCAGGATTCATCTCTACAAAAACGTCCGCTTAAAGCACAATTCTTGGTCCAGCTTGGCTAATATAGCTTTAATTTATCGTTAAGCTCTAATGCCAAAGAGAAACTCCTAACATTTAACTAACACGCATACTTAGATTGAATACAGATCTTTCTGGATCACGAAAATACAATTTATTTTTTACTTTTCCTAAAACATTGTGGGCACAAATTGCGTCTTCCAAGCTTTCCTTGCCCTTCGTCGATTTAATTTTCAATGTCCAAATTTATTCGAGACTATTATTAGGTTTTTCAAAGTAATTTGTATTATTAATTTATTACATCCCATAGATCGTAAAAATGGCCCAGGTTGCCCGATGCTTACAGTGTAGGGTTTCTGGTCCTGCAGCAAATTAACTTAACAAATTAATTAATTTACGAAGGATATTTGCTTTCCATTCTAACCCAATTTGTTCATTTGATTAAGCTAGGTTAATACTCATGTTCGTTTATACGATGATAACTTTATTGTTTGTAAATACTCGAGGATTGTTCCAGAATTATTTCTATTTTGATATTTTCTTTATTGCCGCTGTGAAGAATAAACTTCTTAACTATTACTTTCTTAATTATCCTCAATATTTCTAGCGACTATTGATAGACCATCAAGTGTCAGGCAGGCGCCAGACCATCAAGTGTCAGGCAGGCGCCAGACCATCAAGGCTCAGGCAGGCGCCAGACCATCAAGGCTCAGGCAGGCGCCAGACCATCAAGGCTCAGGCAGGCGCCAGACCATCAAGGCTGAGGCAGGCGCCAGACCATCAAGGCTCAGGCAGGCGCCAGACCATCAAGGCTCAGGCAGGCGCCAGACCATCAAGGCGCCGTCAGCTGACGCCGAGGCGCACAGAGCCCCTGAGGGCGAGACCTTGACGCGTGTGAGGGGCTGCGTGTGCCCTCGGCCCTCCCCAACCTGCCTCCCCTCGCCCCAGTCCCACACCTGAGGGGAGGGTGGGGCGTCAGAAGCTACGTAACACGAGGGAAATGGCGACGTAACACGAGGGTAATGGCGACGTAACACGAGGGAAATGGCGACGTAACACGAGGGGAAATGGCGACGTAACGTGAGGGGAAATAACTACGTAACACGAGGGGAAATAACGACGTAACGTGAGGGGAAATAACTACGTAACACGAGGGGAAATAACGACGTAACGTGAGGGGAAATAACTACGTAACACGAGGGGAAATNTTTTAGAAATGACATCAGCTTCCATCTATCATCATTAGTTATCAAGTGCAAAAAAGCCTACGAAATACGAGGTTATAGAGACTTCCCATTAGAGTTCAAAGATTATTTCAATCTCGAACATACTAGAGTATTGAAACTTTCAACAAAAATTACGCACATAAAAATAAATTTGCTCGTCCAAATGGAAACGTTCATTAGCATGAAACTGTAAGACAAGTCTACAGACGAGCATCGCTCTATTCCTCACGCATTTACGTGAAGATGGAGAATCAGTTTGTGTGGAGAACTGCTGGAAGAGACGAATTTGAATTTGTCTAATTAAATTTAGTCATCAGTAAACCACAAAAAATTGTTTGGCCAATAAATTGCTGAAGTTAATAATTGATTAATTTTTGTAAACTGGTGATAGCCTGCGATTGTATCACGCTATGGAGCAGCGCATTCAAGATGATCCATTCAAGTTTGTTTGTTGCATTCAGATCAATAACTTTTTATCATAACTAACTTCCCTAACAAAATTTAGACGCAGGTGCGACTTTGAAATATGGAACGCTCAGGACTCGTGTAAATCCGCTTCTCTATGTCCGCTTTTCTGTCAACATTCCGATCCCAAGTCAGACAGCTACGAGCATGGTTGAATTAATATTGTATTAATTCAACCATGGCTACGAGAGTCTAGTCCCGACTCTGGCGACCAGTGAGCGGTTCGTATTGGGGTCATCCCCGTATCTGGGGCAGCCCTGGGCTTATACTTTCAAAAATAGTTAAGAGATCGTAAGTTCATCAGCCAATCATTGACGGCTTTTCAAGCAAAATCCACCAATCATAGACAAGAAAATAGAGCGTAAGTACTTACGTTCCCTTAGCGAGTTTTGAAAGTATGGCCCCAGGCCATCTTCCAGCCGATCAAAGCACCCTGCCGAACCAAGACCGAGGCGAAGCTAAGCCTCAGGCTCTCGATCCCAGCAGTTTATTAAATCGATATTGGGTATTCGTGACATGATATCATTTTGATATCGGGTCTTGTACATTGACGAGGTTTATTGTCCATTTATTGGTCTTTGTGAATATCTAGTTATTATAACATTGGTTGTAGTAGCTAGGTTGTAAATTTATTTAGTCTTTTTGCCTTGTGTAAGATGGTAAGCTAATGTTGAAGGAAAAATATTTGTTTATATGAACAGCTAAGTAATTTGTAAATCGTAATTTATTGAAATCATGTCTAAATACTATTATCTCTTGAGCTGTTCAAAATAGAATAAATTTGTGCTCCCAGTACAAGCAAATAAGATCAGAGAAAGAAATGGACAATATTCTTCGCGTTATTTGGGACAAATCTTTTTCGATACCTCCCTGTAGCATTACTTGTACTCAGGTGGAGGTGCTGAGGTGCTGACCGAGAGTGCTGTGGCAGACATCAATGCTGTGGCTGGCGTGCTGAAGCTCTTCCTTCGTCAGCTTCCTCTGCCTCTCATCACAGCTCTCTGCTTCTCTGTTCCCTCACGGCAGCCTCCAGACGACGCAGAGACCGTCGCTCCCGCAGGACGCCAGCAGCCCTGCGGCCTCCCCCAGTCTGCGGGAGGAGATACGGTCACGGGGTAGGAGGATACGGTCGGACAGGGGTATACGGTCAGGAAGGAGGATACGGTCAAGGGGAGGGGGGCTACGGTCACAGAAAGGGGATACAGTAACGGGGGATACAGTAACGGGGGAGTGGATACGGCCACGAGGGTGAAGGATACGGGTACAGGGGAGAGGGATACGGTCATGGGTTAGGGGATATTGATTAGTGTAGTAGTAAGGAATGTTAATTACGGTGTGATTTGGGGGAGAATGCGAACAGCGAGATATGGGGTGAAGTGGTTGTTCTCGATCATGGGGTAAGACTCTGGTATTGTTCAGGGTAAATTCAAAGCGACGCTCTGTTGCGGGTTGCGGGGTATACAGAGTGTCCCAAAAAAAACGATCCTCAAATTTGAATGGCTGTAACTCGAAAAGTAATAGAGTTAAAAATTTTTGAAATATCAGGATTTGTTCCTTATGTCTTTCTCCATATCTCCACCAAAAATCAGACAGATCGATGTAGCCATAAGCGTTTGATAAAACTTTCAGTGACATGTGCTAAAATCGTGCTTGCGCAAAGTTTTAGTAAGATCATTTTGCATAATCATTACGATGTCTTGACATTTTTTTCTTTTTGCTGTTTTATTTTTTGTATCTTTTATGAGACAAAAACATGGCAATCTTTGGTGAGAGGCAATCATGGCAATCTTTGGTGAGAGACAATCATGGCAATCTTTGGTGAGAGACAATCATGGCAATCTTTGTCTCTTATACACATCT